GCCACTGATCTGCTTGAATTTGTCTAAATGTTTTAGTAATTGTGTGACGGAATCAAGATCGCGCACCAAAACGGTGGTATCGTCTGCGTATTGAGTTATCTTAATTTCCTTCTGACTGACTTTGATGCCTTTAATAGTGGGGTCTTTCTTAAGTACTCTAGCTAAGAGTTCGATTCTAACGACGAAAAGGAGGCTAGATAATGGGCAACCTTGTCGCACACCTCGCTCGAGAAGGAAGAAGTCCGATGCATGACCATTGTGCAGTACAGAGCTCGATGCTTGGTTGAGGGTTAGGTTAAAGGTTTGTAAAGCGGCTCTTAAGTAGTCCCATTCTATTGTATCAAACGCTTTTCGAAAGTCAAGAAATATGGCAATACCGGGTTTTTCCTCCTGTTTAGTGTGAAACATTACATCTTGAATTAGTCTAACGTTTCCCCGATAAAGCGTCCCCTAATGTAACCAGTTTGGTCAGAGTTTATGATTTTAGGAAGGACTTTTTTTAATCTTTTTGCAATAGATTATGTCAGAATTTTGTAATCAACGTTTAGTAGAGATATGGGCCATAGGTTTTCAAGTAAAGTTTTGTCTTTGTTCTTTTTGGAGATGAGTGAAATAATTCCGCGCTTTTGGCTGATAGATAGTGAACCTTTTAGCATAATTAAAACTGGCAGTCATCACAGTGCCAAGGTCACTCCAGAAGAATTTGTAGAATTCTGCAGAAAAACCATCAGTTCCTGGCGTTTTGTTGTTTTTAAACTCTTTTAAGGCAGTTAAGCATTCTTCTTCTGAAATCATGCCTTCACAAAGTAATTGTAGCGGATCAATATTCTCTACATTAAATAAATGAGATTCAGGCACATTATCCTGGGAATTTTGCGACTTGTAAAGAGTTTCAAAAAAATTTGCTTGTTCTTGTAGCATCTCAAACTGATCACAAGTTACATGATTGTTACGAAGTTTGAGCATTGTGACTGTTTTTTTATATGATAATTTCGCTCACCATACTCATGCCACCGAGCTTTGCTCCTAAGAATGGCGCCTTTTGTTTTTTGTCGCATGATCGTTTGAAGGCGCAATTTTGTCGCATAAAGCTCGTTCAATATTCCTTTGTCGCTAGGGTTTTGTTCACACTTTTGCATAAGCTCATTAACTTTATTTTGAAAGGCACGGTCTTCATTGACCACTCCAGAAAATACCATAACATACCATAATGCTCTTTGTTTGTCACCCCAAAATTTTGCGTAAGCATTGTTTTCAGTTTCTCTTGGGGCCATTTTAACTCCCAAGAGAAATTGAAGACAATGCTTATGCAAAATTTGGGGTGACAAACAAAGAGCATTATGGTATGTTATGGTATTTTCTGAAGTGGTCAATTCGTCTTGTTCTTAGCTTTAATTTTTGAATACTTGATTGTGAATCCGCGAATTTCCATTCTAATTAAGTCTCATTTTAGACCTAGGTCACCCAGGTCAGTATATTTATCTTTGAAATCCGGCAGACTCTCACGGATTGCGGAAGTGAAATCTTCGTCATCTAATAGAGAATTATTACATTTCCAAAAACCAGAAGCTCTCGGTTGTAATAAGTCTTCTGTCTTAAGATGTGAAGTGATAGCCGAGTGATCAGTTTCAGGAGCGTTAATTATATTGCAAGCATGTGTGTCACTGCTGAGTTCTTTTGAAATAAAAAGAAGTCTAGTCGGCATTGGATTTTTAGCGATTTGTTTCTCCAAGCGAAGCGGTTGTCGTTCGGATTCCGATCGCGCCAGATGTCTGTTAAATTATAAAGGTTCGCAAGATGCTGAACTTCTTTAATTATTATGGATTTTTTCCAAACTGGATTTCCACCTTTTTTGTCATTTTCAGACAGAGCGCAGTTAAAGTTACCAGCGATAATAATATTCTGTTGGGCAAAATCTTCGAGCTGATTTTCGAGTTCTTTAAAAACCGTGGCTTGCTGGTTCGCGTCATTCGGGGCATAAATGTTAACTAGAAATAGATGCAACTCATCAATTAATAGGTCAATTCAAGAGGCTATAAAGGGGACAGAGAGGGCATCCCCCATATACACCCTATTCCATAGGTAATTCGTCTCGAGTTATTTTTAGAACCGCAGATCCCAAGGGGTGTTGGACAACAGGGAATCACATAGCGCGAATGTATTCCGCGTGGACGACCCATGCTAGAGCCACGCGTCCTCCACGAATTGACGCGGAACAAAATGGGGAAGACGCGGAGAGCGATTTTGCTATTCCTTTTGTCGACGAAAACGACTACAGCGAGATTTCTGCGAAAGCTGTGTCAGCGAAACGGAAATTAAAAAAGAATCGCCCTTCCTCTCTTGTATAGAGCTACAGCAGGGAAATCCTTAACACACTGAATATTCTCTCAGGATCATTTATAATTTACATTTTGAAGAGAGCAATTTCTGGTTTGATATTTATTCCTTTATTAGTCTTTTATTATTCAACAAAAATAACACTTGGCGTCCTACTTGCCTTATAGGGACTTTAAGATCCAACGGCGCGACGGCGAGAAGAACGTCGCTTAAAAAGTGAATTTGAGTTTTTTCAGTCTTTATAGCAATTATTCCCACCCACTTACTTTGTCAATTGTAGGCAAACCCTCCTGAAGCTGAATTTCAAGGGACCATATTCAAGCTCAGAAAGAGAAATAAAATTTCGTCATTGCTTGTTTACGTCCTCCATAAAACGCGAAATTAGGCATTTTCACGTCGTAGTCGTGCAAAAACAGGAAAGAAATGAACAAAAAAGTGTGTTGCACGTGCGAAGTTGTTGTTTTGCTAATTAAACCTACTGTTTTTTTGACGTTCTAGTTGTCGCCCGCGTCGTTGGATCTTAAACTCCCTATTGTACAAACGACCGGTTTCAATAGACCGGCGAAATTTCTCATTTTATTAAAGCACTGAGGTTACGACAACTTCGAGTTAAACTGATTTCACGGGTTGTCAAAGAGTCCAGCGATTCCTTTTTCCCAGGTGAGCGCCGACTCATTTCGCTTCAATATTCGGGAATGCTCTCGATCTTTTTACGCTTTCATTGCCTTTCGCCCGACATGTTTTGCACGGCGTTTAGTCATGCGAAACCTCCACGAAACATCCACGCCTCGCGCGAGGTAACTTTATCCCGATTCTAAAAATAACTCGAGACGAATTACCTATGGAATAGGGTGTATATGGGGGATGCCCTCTCTGTCCCCTTTATAGTCTCTTGGTCAATTATAAGAAACCTGCCTTTCGTGTCTTGGATGCATTTTTCGGCCTTGACATCTAAGTTCGGATTAACGAGAGTCATGACGCCTTTGCTGGGTGAGCTGTAGACTACGAGTAGTCCCCCATTTTTCCTCAGGGATAGGAGACCGTGCGAAACGCGAGCGCGCGTGAAAATCACCCCACGCGAGAAAAGGCGACACGCGGCGGGGAGAGGGAAAAATGAGCCTCATTTTTCTCCCCGCCGCGTGTCGCCTTTTCTCGCGTGGGGTGATTTTCACGCGCGCTCGCGTTTCGCCCGCTCTACTATCCCTGAGGAAAAATGGGGGACTACTCGTAGTCTAGGTGAGCTGCCGTGGCTAAAATAAACCTTCCCACCCCATTCAGCTTCCCAAATCTGGGCACATTCTTTAGAGCTGTAGGTTTCTTGTAAGAATGTGAAATGGAATTTTTGATTATGTAACCAACGGAAGATTGATCGACGTTTGATTGACTTATTCAATCCTCTTACGTTTATAAGGACTGGAATTTAACATCAAAACTAGGTTTTAAAGGCACCTACGGGACAAAGGGAAAAATTCAGAAAACTGCGCTGGCAACGGCAGACTTTGACAGCTGTCTTTTGGCCGAAGCGTGAATGTGAATGCAGTGCATTGGTGATTAATGTGTTCAAACTACTAGTAGAAATAAAATAGATTATCAAAGGACTTAGACAAACATTACTGAAGAAAAATAAACAGAAAAATAAAAAAGGCGCTGAAAAAGGCCTTCGAACGCACCACGCGAAAGTGGTTTGGCCTACTTGAGAGGGTAGCATAACAAGGGACGTATAGTACAAAGCATCCGCAATAACATCGACTTTGACTCTGAATGTTAAGTAAACAGATTTGCCATGAAAGGTGAAAATTTGGCTACGGTACGGGAAGCATGAAAATAGCGAGTCCCATTTCAGCGTCGAAATTAAGTCCTCGTATTTGGAAACACAAAAATAGAGCTTGATTTTAAAGGTAAGAAAGAACGGAGTAAAAATAAAACTGGTTTTCAACCAAGAGTCAATTTTAAAGTTTTGTGAAAGGATTGGACTGACAGAAAAAGCGTCACCTATTCGCTTTGACTAAGCGGTTCTTGGTATTGGACCATAACATCAGAGGATTCTTCTTGACTTTGCAGTGGTTCTTGTTGTTCGGCCGTACCATTGCCATAAACCTCGTGGGTATTCACTGAAGAGTTGACAGGGAGCCATTTGTTCGGCACCTCATAATGAAAATAAACTTTTCCATTAACAACTAACATCTCCTATGAAGGTAGCTTTGTGGCTAGGTGTTTCTTGTTTTATCTTCTTCATCGCAGGGATAAGGACGTTTATCCTGATTTCTTGTATGTGCTACGGTAGGTTCTCACCCATTGAAATACGCGAGTTTTCCAGCCTGTAGCGAGCTTTCTAGACGCGGTCTCTCTCAGCACGACACGTGAAGCAAGCAATGAGACGTCGGGCTCTGTTTCTGTTTAGCTCGCCAAACAGCTGCACTTCTTAAATCTGCATGCACGTGTGAATTATTATTCAAACCAAATTGATCAGTGTGCGGGTGACTCTCGCAAGCTATTTAGTGTGGTTATTCTTTGTCCAGGGGACCACTTGAGACGGCTCTTCCAGAGCACGATGATCCCACAAAGCTAGCAAACGAATTTGGAACCCCTTACTCAAAAAAATTGAAATCATAAAGGAAAATCGTGACAAGTTTCAAGTTCAAGAGCCTCGACTTGCTCCTGTTTCTCCAAAGGAGAATCTGGAGAATTTTTCTGCGCTATCCATAGGAGAAGTGAATAAGATTGTTCGAGAATCCTCCAATGCCTCTTGTCGGTTGGATCCTGTTCCTACATGGCTAGTGAAGTCCTGTCTTGATGTACTAGCGCCCCCTATCACTGAGATGGTTAATCTCTCTCTTCTCAGAGGTTACGTTCCAGAAAATTGGAGAACCGCTGTTGTCATCCCTCTATTGAAAAAACCTGGACTTGATTTGGTCTACAAAAATTTCCGTCCAGTCAGTAATCTTCCATTCATTTCCAAGGTAGTGGAAAAGGCTACACTTCAACAACTTTTCGTCCACTGTGAGAAAAATGCCCCTCTTCCTAAATTCCAGTCCGGCTTCCGTAAGTATCACTCAACAGAGACTACCCTATTAAAGGTTCAAAACGACATCTTAATGAGTATGGATAATAAGGAAGAGACACTTCTCGCTAAGTGCTGCTTTTGATACCATTGAACATTCCATTCTTTTGAATGTTTTGCAACAGGATTTAGGAGTCGTCGGAACTGCTTTAAATTGGTTCCACTCATTTCTGTCTGGTCGCAAACAACGGAAACTTATCGGTGATAAGACTTCTGACGACTTCAGTCTGAACTGAGTCCCCCAGGGCAGTTATATGGGGCCTATTTTATTTACTCTCTACGTCTCCAGCCTCTTTAACATTATTTCTCAGCACCTCCCTTCCGTCCATGGTTATGGTGATGACACTCAGATTTACCTTTCCTTCCGACCTTTTTCTATCCATTCGGAAATTAACGATGTCTCTGTGATTGAAGAGTGCATCGCTGATGTTCGCTCTTAGTTTATTGGAAAGCGTCTAATGATCAATGACGCGAAACTGACTTTCTAATTATTGGCACCCGTCAACAACTTGAAAAAACATCTATTGAATCTATTATCATTGGTGACACCGTCATTAAACCTTTAGAAAGCGTGCGGAACCTTGGGTTCTGGTTCGATGCTCATATGCGAATGAATGTTCGCATAGGCGAGATTTGTAGCAAGGCTTTTCCCGGACTATACAATATAAGATAGATCAGAAAATTCCTTACCATGATATCCACAAAGACACTGATCCATGCCTTTGTATCTTCGCTCCTTGATTACCGTAACGCGCTTCTATTTGGTCTACCTAAATATCAACTTGTTCGTTTACAGAAAGTTCAGAATGCCGCGGGTAGAGTGACTTTTCAGATTGCGAAATTTGATCACATCACACCCGCTCTTATCGACCTTACATTGGCTTCCAGTAACGTTTAGAGTTCAGTTCAAATTGCTCCTTTTTGTTTACAAGTCACTACACAACCAAAGTCCATCCTAAATTAAAGATCTTTTATCCCTGAAACCAGCTGCTAATTATGCTCTTCATTCGTCCGCACAATCTCTTCTGTTCGTTCCAAAAGTCATTTGCTCTTCTACACTTGGGGATCGGGCCTTTGCTCATGTTGCACCTGTTTTATGGAAGTCGCTGCCATTAACCAGAAGAACAAGTAGCAGCCTCGCCATTTTTAAAAAGCAACTTAAAACATTTCTTTTTAAGAAAGCTTTTAATTTGTTGGAATAGTTCTAATGTTTAATTTTAATTTAGTTTGGAATTTTCGAATTTCATTTTTTTTTTATTTTACCATAGCATAACATATTATTGTTATTATTGTAGCTTTCAGGGATTTTTGATTTTTTAATTTATTATTTATTCATTAATTTTAACTTAATGTAAAGCGCTTTTGAATATTCTTCTATCGTTTTAGCGCTATACAAATTCATTATCATTATCATCATCATTATCATAATGATTGCATAGGATTTCGTCTATCATGCTGTAGGATCTTCTCCAGAATTAATAAGGATTCCATAGGATCTTTCCTAACGCTTGTATTTGCATTAAGCCTGCTCAAATAAGCACTTGTATATTTCTTAACTAAATTCTTAGCTTCTTGATTGTATTGTCCTGTAAATATTTGACAGGACGCTGTTGAGTCCTTCAGAATCTTGTCTGAGATCCCATAACATCTTGTCTAAAATTCAGAAGGATTCGAAACAATTTTGTCTAGGATGCTGTAAGATTTAATGCGATTGTCTAGGATCCTGTACAATCTTGTATGATTTCATTGGATCGTTTAGACAATTGATTAGAATTTGATAAGATCTTTCATAAAGCTTCCCATGGGTCTTTGTGTAGGATCCTGTAAGACCTAGTAGGATTGCGTAGGATCCTATAGGATCTTGTATGATTGCATAGAATTGTAAAGGATTCCACAGGATTTTCTTTAGGATCCTGTACGATCTTGAAGGATTGTCTAGGAACCTTTTGGATCTTGTAAGATCTCTCGTAAACCTTGCATTTGCACATTAACTGCCCAAATAAGCATTTGTATATTTCTTAACTAATTTCCAAGGTTCTTAAATGTAAAATCCTGTTAAATATTTCACAGGATGTTATTGAGTCCTTTACAATCTTCTCTAAGAACTCATAACATCTTGTCTACAATTGATAAGGATTGCATAGAATTTTGTGTATTATATCAAAAAAACGAAGTCCCTTTTAGTGCACAGAAAGCGCATTCCTGCTAAGCTGGATGAAGACACACCCCTACGCTTAGATGTCAAGATTGATGACTCTGTTATTGAACAAGTCTCTTCTCATAAGAGTTTAGTATATTTCTTTGACGTTGTCTTGCACGACTACAACGTAAAACTTCCTAGTTACACATCGTTTGTAGGAGATGTCGTATGTGCTCACCAAAGTTTTGTTGCTTGTGTTCCTGTTCGCTTTTGTTTTTCACTGCCACTTATTCTCACCTTGCTGATGGCTAGCATTTCTCATTTTCTCACCGCCAATTTTCATGTTTTTCCTCCGACAAAAATCGTCTCCTTTTTTCTATTTAGCTCTTCTTTGTTTTCCATGTCAGTATAGACATTAAAATTTGGTCGGACTCGACTTTGTTGTTGTATTTGTCTCTAAAAAGTCTGTGTAGCCATGTGATCTCCAGCCATAAAACCTCGTGTTGCATTTGGGTTGCCATACCTGTTGATTGAGTTATTTTATATTGGCGTGCCTGTGGTGCGGACGGGCGCGCGTACGGTCACGTGACTACGAAATATTCCCGGATGCATAGGGTGTGTTGCATTGAGATGATCCGTATCAGTATCAGTGATCCGAGATCACTCGGATCATGGTCGATCAAATGCACCGATGATTCCTTGTCCAGAGCAGATTCATCAGTTCATTCTTCCATGATCCAAGCGATCTCGGATCACTGATCATGATCCGGATAGTCTCAAAGGAACGCACCCATAGATTACCAAATTTGCCCATGGTGCTCCTTATGGTGCTCCGATGCGCGCGCTTCGCGCACGCGAGAACTCCACTATTAGCATTATTGAAGCATTAGCATTATGACGTATGGTGAGTTTCAACCATGTATTTTAGGGCGAAAGTATCTGTTCTCCAGTATGGTTGATTTTAAAATACAGAAAACAGTTTCTTATCTCCTGTTGGCAACATTCATTGCCATTTTAACACTGACCAAGACAGAAAAGGTTCAGTGTCCAAACAAGTGTCATTGCAGTACTGATTTCACCACCGTGAAATGCCGAGGCTTTGATAAATTTCCTGTCCTTGATTTTGCTGCTGGTGTGCGCACTCTGTGAGTGATTTTGTTTTGTCTCTTTTTCAAAAACTCAGTAAAGTAGTGTGAGGGTATATAGTTCCTTTCATCAAGTACTTTATATTTCAAGTAACTCAACCGCAGGAGAGACCCTTAGTTTCCTGAGTTTCCGTACATTATAAGCACTGTAGCTTTTAATGCTAATGCGCCACTTCCGAGAAATAAGATTTTTAAATAAAGTGTTATCTGCCTTTAGGGATTTGTCCCGAGGCCAGATCTCGGATATAGAGAAGAAGGACCTCGAAGCCTACAAGAACTTACATTTCCTGTAAGTAGTTCATTATTAAAAATCCCACACTACTCGGTGAACCATTTTACGAAACTGTTTATTGGTGTCATAAGCTTATCTAAAACAATTTCGCTCTTTTATTTAACATAAGCTTACTTAAGTTTAATAGCTTTTAATGCGTTTTATCTATACAGGGATATAAGACACAACCAAATAAAAAGTGTCTCTCCAGGTTTATTCAGCGATATGACGACTTTGAGGGAACTGTAAGTGGCCTGATGATAATAAGAGCTATTTTTTATGCCAAATATTTATGATACAGTAGTTGTACAGTATGTTGATACAGTATGTTGCCCAGTATCCGGACACTTCAGTTTAACATCGCAATAACTTTCCTTTGTTGATCGCAAGAGCTCCGAAATTTGACCCAGAGAAAATCTATTTAGTCCTTAATATGACAAAAGACAATTTAACTTTTTTGCCTCTGGTTCCATCGCGAAATTAATATTTTTGCAGAGTTCTTGTGTTGCTCAGTATCCGGACAGCTGGCCCAGTATCCGGACACAACAATAACAACGTAATTGTACATAAATTTCGACAGGTAAACGACTTATAAGCTTCTCTTGCACTTGCTAAGTAGTCTTGCAATCGATTCCAAAATATAACCTACAGTAGCATCGTGAAATAAAACATAACAAATGACTGGGGTATGGTGGGGAACGCGAGCGGTTGTTTAATAGCATAATTCTTACTCTTACTCTTACTCTTACATCCGTGGACATGCCGAAGCCGCGGTTTGCTAGTTCAATTACCCAATCTGCAAACGAATTTTTTCTTCATTTTTTATTTGAAAGAAAAAAAGCTTGGCGAAGGGGCCTCAATGCGACGGTCAAAGGTCACTCTCCTATTTAGTCTGACCTGCAGTGTTGATTTCTTCATGCTCAGTCCCTACAGACCCTACAATAAGCCTGCTTTTCTAGCACCTATCCCTCCTTCTTTCACATCTCTCAAGCCCTTTGTGACATGTTTCAGACCGTTGCAACCCCATTACAGCAGTCACAACTGGGGAAAGTATGAGAATTCCAGGTTCAACTTCTATGCTTTCGGTTAAATATAGAAAATGCAGTCACACGAAACAAGAGGCGCACACGAAATCAAGTTGCCTCAGAATGAGTGAAGAAAATTTCCGTACGGAGTTGAGTAGAATTCCATTTTACGACTATATCATATATCCTAAGCTTTAATTATAGTTATAGATATGAAATAAATCTTATCCGGATAATGTACACGGCTAATTCAGGGCTAATTCATCGATTCTGTACAGCAAAGAAAAAACTGTCCGGATACTGGGCACCTGACATCAATACTTAGTGAATGTTTCTGGGCTCCGTTATTCCAAACAAATCGAATTTCAAGGAGAATTAATAAACTTTCTGAGAACCTGACTTCTTTAAGTATCTTCACGTTAAATATAAAACCGTTTCTTTGAAAATAAGACAAATTACCAACCCTTTTGTGGGCAGCACTAATTTTACTGCGCAGTAAACAGCGTAAATATTAGCCATGAAATGTTTATTCACCTAAACAGAACGACGTCTTCTGCGACTGTTTCGCAAGCTTTCAACTTGCCAAAACCTTTATCTTAAAGCCGAAATGTTCAGCTTTCATTCGAAATACTTCGTTTACCGATAACTGAAAAGGGCGCCTCAAAAATTGAGTTTTTTGTTTCAAGTGTCCGGATACTGGTACCGTCCGGATACTGGGCAACATACTGTACATAAATAGTTTTCGGACGACGCCACTTAACAAGCTGCCTGCCTCAGCAACAGGGTCATCTGAGTATTAGTCTGAAACTTATGATGTGCCAAAGGCCCAAAGTTGAGAAAAGGCTGAAGGTTTCGAAATGCTGTTCACAGGCAGGTTGTTATTCTTTGTGGGCACATTGTTACATGAAAATATGTTTCCTGTGTTCGCAGTGGCTTAACATCTATGATTGTTATGTTTTCGTGTTAAATAAACCGCCTTTATACTGCATTACCCACAATTTTTATATTGTGTTTAAATAATCTACAACTGTTTTAAAAATACTTTTGTTTTAGGTATGTTTCTTATAATCCATGGTCATGTGACACAACAACGCTTCATGTATTGCAAATGGAGCTAATTGCTCTGGCAGACAAGAACTCACATCTCAATAACTTTGATGGTGGTAAAATGGAGTGCTTTGATCCACCAAACATGAAAGGAAAAAAGCCACTGCACTCTGCTCATTGTAAGAAAATATTTTTTGTTTTTACTGTATCTGCATAGAAGTGAACTGTATTGGGTCAAATATGTACTTCTTTTCAAGCTGTAGGCAACGGTACTGAAGGTTTTGTCTTCCTCTTTATACTTGGGGTTCAGTGCAATGGGACAGCTGACTTGTCTCAACAGTGGGAGGCCAGGCCAGGGGTTGGGGGGATTCCTTAGGGCATTAAAAACAGGGTTGTTAAAAACAGGTGCGAGATTAAAGCTTGAGCTGTAATATAGACTACTGTTTCTCTTTGATTATAATAGAACACTCCTGAGAGTGGTATTGGAGGCAAAGAGAATCTTGCAATATGTGCATGATGTTCCTGGAAGTTTTCCAAATTAGGAGTTATTAAGAAAGGTTCAGAGAATTTCATCAGTAAAATTCCAGGAAGTATCAACCTTCAGGAAATTCCAAACAAAACATTGTTGGGGACAGCACGTATTCTATGAGATAAAACTACATGTATGCATGTAATTATAAATCAAACCACTATCAATAAAAGAAAATTGTATTTTTTTTACTATAGCAACAGTCAAGGTCCTACATGTACATAAAGTTATGAAAGGACGTATGGCTGATCAACACCAGATCCCTGCTGGAGTAATAGCACTGTCAGTATTCTTGGTGATGTTGCTGTTCACTGCTGTAGGTGGAACTGTCTGGGTGTTCAGAGAAAACTTACAAGACTTGTTCATGTGAGTCACCAAAAATCACCAAAAAAGGTGGTCTTTTACAGTGTTCACACAGTCTTTAAAAGTCCTTAAATTTTAAGCGAAGTCATTGAAAAGTCACTGAACTCCATTTATCCTGCAAGTCCTTGAAAATTCCTTGAATTTTCGTCAGCTTTGAATGTAGTGACCTGGAAAGAATTCTTTGATGCTTTTTTTTGGCGCTCTATGTCTTAAGCAATAATTAACTATCAGTTTACGACAAGCGAACTGAAAGAATGTAGAGAAGTTAGTGAAGCAAACAGTTCAAGCCTTAAAGTCTTATTAGAATAGACTGGGAATGTGCTAGCCTGAATTTCATCCAATTACTTCAAGTCGTTATTACTCCCTCAGAGGAGAAAACAACTCGAAGCAATCAGATGAATTTCGATCAGGCTAGGAATGTGCATTTTTGTACAATCTGTGAAATTATATTCCTAGTAGTTGGTCCTTGAAAATCTAATGTGCTCCTTGAAAAGTCCAAGAAAGGACTTGAGAAATGGTTGAAATTTTTTGTATGAACCCTGTTTTCGCATAAAATATGTTGCCTTTGCCTAAACCATTAAGTCTAACTGCTGAACTCATGGTTTATTCTATTTACTTTATATGTAAAATTTATAAAAAACATGACAGTTAACATGATCATGAGGGGTCATCATATACTAGCATGCAAGTCAAGGGTTANCATTGGCTCTTAAATCCCCACTAGCTTTTAATTCATTCTTAGTCTTGCAGACTCGAGGTTAAATGTTTGAATTTATAGTTTGTTTGGGTATGCTGTTTCTTCAGAATAGTTTTGAGGCCTTTTTCTTGATAACACTGTATCTTGCCTTTACACCATAAGTTGGCACAAATAAACGTCTTAGGGGTTTATTTACAACTTCCCATTTAAGACCCAGGGTTACTCATTAAAATATATAAAAAAAATGGTATGTTTACATTTGCCTTGATTCGATTCATAGGAATGTTTGGAGACTCAAGCCTCAGAGTGATCCAGCAAACAAAATGGAAGCAGGTGAGATGTACAAGGACCTGCTAACTTCTAAAACAAGCAGCAACAAAGGAGTAGTTGATGCAGGGAAGAAAACAAAACCTAATGGCCAACTTGATAACAAAAGCATTTTGATTGACAAGAGGAAAAAAAGGAGTCACAAGTTACAGGGCCTTCCAGCCTCTCATGGTAACAGTGCATTATGTTCTAATAACAAAGCAAAAAACAAGAAAACTCCTGATGAGCTGAACAAGAAACGCATCTTGTATGAGAAAATGAAAAAGCGGCGCCGCATGTCACAGGGCCTTCCAGCCTCTCAGAGTAACAGTGCATCAAGCTCTGATGAAGAAGCAACTGTTAAACCAGCAAACAACAAGAAAATTCCTGATGAGTTAAGTAAGAAAAGCATTTTGAAGGAGAATATGAAAAAGAGGCGTCGCATGTCACAGGGCCTACCAGCCTCTCAGAGTAACAGTGCATCAAACTCTGATGATGAAGCAAGAGTTAAACCAGCAAACAAGAAAACTCCCGATGAGTTAAGCAAGAAGAGCATTTTGATGAAGAATATGAAAAAGTGGCATCGCATGTCACGCGGCCTTCAAGCCTCTCAGAGTCAAAGTGCACCAAGCTCTGATGGTGAAGCAACAGTTACACCTGCAAACAACAAGAAAACTCCTGACAAGTTAGACAGTGAAACTGTTCTGATTGACAGTATGAAAAAGAGGCGTCGTATGTCACAGGGTCTCCCAACTACTGATGTTAAGGGGGAATCAAACTCAGAAAATGAAGCAGAAGTTAACTCAACGTGTAACCTTGAAGAGAGAATGAGCAGACAGAGGCGACAATCATGTGGTTTTGCAGAGGGAGAAAACAGCAGCTTTAGTGAAGAAGATAGTAGATTCACACCACAGTAGATGTGTACACTGTTCTATGATTAAAACTCATAATTATGTATGTAGGCTTGCGAAAGAACAGTTCTTGATGAAAGTGGTCAGACATTGTTCTCAGTGGACCATAAATTTGACTGTAATTTTCTTTCATACATACTACATTTAATGATAGTAATCTGTTCAAAAAGCTTGATATGGCATACAAATAATATTGCCAGCGACTTGAGAATATACTTTCAAAGACGAAATACATGTACTGGTACTTCTCTTCCTTGGATTTACCTTGTCTTGGAGTGGAAATTGTATCTTGCAAAAGTGGTAAAGTAAAATAAAAAATCGTTTTATTTTTATTGTTGTTTAATGTAAAGTATAAGCTTTGAATGTCATTCGATAATAATGGAATGAAACTCTAGGAGACTTTATCACCATGTTGAGATAAATTCATTGCAGTAAAGCTTGCCAGTAAACCATGAACTTCATCTACCTGCAATTAATCAATAACATCATTCACCCTGTCAGCATAAATGTTAACCCCAAATAAAATATCACATAAAGAGAAATGCAGTAAGCCAAAGACCCCATTGTTCATTGACAATTATTAATTGGACACAAAAATGAATTAGAGTTTTACACATACAGGTATAATCATTATTGTGTGTTATCTAAAAGATGAGCAAGGCAAGTGGTGCCAAAAGTAATCCAGTTAATTATCACTTTTCATGATGTACAATCACGCAATAAAATCCATTCTGTATAGATTTAAACCTCCAGGGGTAACCACCTTGTTAAAATTTCATGTAAATGTAATTATTTTGTTTAGGCATGAAACACTAAAGACCTCCAAATAACACATTTTGAAATGGTTTGAATATGCATATCAGAATTTGGAAGTGTTAGCATTTTTAGTGAAGGTGGGGGACCAGCACTACTTGAAGAAATTAACACCTCGTGGACCCAGCAAAGACAAGAACCAACAAAACACTCAACTCCATGTAAGGTGTCATAAGAATCCAAAGTATCCAATTTTCCTGGTCAGCTCCCCCAGGCCAGATGTATGTAGCTGACCACTTTAAAATTAAATTGACTTTTGGAGCAGTTGTTTACAGGCATTTTAACTGTGTTCAAAAACTATGAACATTCAAACTTAAAATAACCTATAATGCCACAATTGATTCACATAGACAACTTAATCAGTATATTGAGTGTAGTAATGTTACTTATTACAAACCTCTTCAGTAGTGACTGATTTTCCAAGCATACCAGAAATATTATCTAGTGTCTCCCCAGCTGTTTTGTTTCCAAGCCTCAACATGTATGCCCTGATCAACTCTATAACTTGTTTTACTTCCTCACAGTAAACCGATGGTCTATCTCTTATTTTCTGGTCACCATGAAGAACTCTTAACCTAGAGTATGCCACATCAAGAGGTGTTTTTCCATTAAAGTCAGCTGCAATTACATTAGCACCAGCCTGCAACAGTAGTGTTACTATTTTTAACTGGTTTGTACATGCTGCAAGATGAAGTGGTGTATTTCCATTTAAATCTCTTGCATTTGGATTTGCTCCGTTCTCAAGCAGAATCTGTAAAATCTCATCATTTCCTTGTGCTGCTGCAAAATGAAGTGGAGTCCTTTTCTTTGAGTCAGCACTGCAAACACTGACTCCTTGATTGATCAGCTCAAATAAAGTGTCTTTTTTACATTGCTGTACTACATCTCTTAGTTTCTTTTCAGCCAGATAATCTTGTCCCAGTGGTGACAACTTTGTTGTAGCATAGCTTCTGAGCTTTGAGCGAGATGGCAGAACTTTAGGTGAAAACGGCCTTCCATGTTCTTCAAGAGTATTATGCAAGTTGGAATAGCTGTTTCCCACAGCAGCTGAGGGTAAGGCAGTAGTACTATTCACAGGTAAGTTTGACCAAACATTTGAGGAAGACCAGTCAATTTGGAAAGAAGTTGCACACTTTTGTTGGTGGTCTTTTCCATTCATGTCTAATCATTGACCTTAAGATAATCAAAGCAAGAAAAATTTAATAACACTATTCCAATTTATGCTTTTCCATATTTACCCTTTAATACACAAATTTAATATTGACAGACTGAAAAACCTCAGTATACACTGTGTATGTCATTTGTTTACACAAGGGGGGGGGAGGGGGGATTCAGACACAGAAAGCGTGCTGCCTAACAGGATCATGAGAGCGGAACTTCAAGAAAAAAACTGCTCACTACATTGACATACCTACAAAATACCCCTCTGGCAAAAATAAAACTGGGAAACATTCCCCATTCACCTGTTAAAAACACAATAATTATACCCTGATATTACAAGGGGGGATGGGAGGGGTGGATTTATATATTATTGTCTGGGTGGGTATAGTCCTAAATAGGACCTGTTGACGGTGACTGACATGATCGACAAACTCTGTGGAAATCAAAGTGAGTTGTATCATGTCAGTTGATGATATTAACTCTCCTTATGGTCCTGATTGGGCAATTAAGCCACAAATTGTTAGCCTGCATGGTGGGCGTTTAAAAAGGAAGGGAAAGGGGTCATGGGCGCAAGAGAAATGTGAGGGGTGCACGAGTGAGGAGGGAGGGAAATGCCTGCCAGGAGACTAATGTTTTTTTGCATTATAAACATCCACCAGGAGAATGTTAAAACCCTGATCGGTCAGTCTTCAGTCTTCTGTCGCTTGTTTTTCTTCAGTTGGTGATATCAACTCACTTTGCCTCAAAAGATGACTAATGCAAAGGTTGTTGAAACGTTCACTATCAACAACCATTTTGGTGCAATTGTCCTCATTGACCGACTCGAGCAAAACCAACTATGAGAGAATGACTGGATGACCAAAAATTTGACTAACAATACATGACTGTTTAACTGTGACAGCAGACCAATCAAAACACACCAATTACATTACGAGTCTTCATTTCCAATTAGATCATGGCCTAACTTTCAGATGACCAATAACATTGCAACTTAATTGACCAATCAGGTGAGGTCAATAACCAGAGTTTAATACTGTCAACTGAAGTGGTAAAAACTCAATTTGACTTTGAACATGACTACCGCACAGGTTGTCGAAAAGTCAGTCCCTGACAACAACAGGACTACATTCACCCGGACGATCATACTCAACCTACTTATGAAATGACTCCTGGGTTCAAACCTTTCACAGTCCTCTTCCTGTTGCTTTATGTTAATGACACCGATACCTCCTTATAGAGAGTAAGGTAATGTTACTATGACTATTCAGGATTTACTGACCAGGACGATCATACCCCACCTACCTTTACGCGTGTAAAAAAACACAATAAGCCTGCCTCTTGAACAATGCGGAATCACGAGCAAAATTTGTTTTCCTTGCAGTCTCCCGTTTGGTGTTCTTTTTTTCTAAAAAATATAGATAAGCTTGAATATTTGCCTCAAAGCGGAGTTTCATCCCAACATGTACACACATGAGTATTACTCATACAAACAACAAATAACAACAACTTTATTAAAAAGCAATGAAATACAATAAACATACACTGCACAGCTGCCTACTTTTAGATAAAGCTATTCGAGGCAGGCAGTGTGGTTACTCTACATATGTAAGAAAGTGATAAACAAATAAATTAAGAGCTTAAATATGTTTAAGTCACAAAATAAATACCTCTGATGTAGGTTTATAACTTCAAAAACCTTGATCACTTGCATTTCTTCGCTCGAAGTACTACTGAAATGTGGTAGAAGCACTACTGAAATGAAAAGACTGGAGGTGGCCTGGGTACCATTAGATATTCTTTCCTGGACGTGTATACGACACAATGTGTCCTTGAAAAAGCCGCCTTGCCTAGACTGCGAGCAGTCTCTTCTTTTTCCTTGAAAAGTTACTGCACGCAAAACCTAAGGACGCGAACGGCAAAGCCGTATCCCTTATTGTAATAATAACGTCGTGGTTTGCAATCTAGTCTGCGAAAATATCCGTTTCTCCTCGCTCTTCGCTGCTAGGGTCGTCCCCAGCGGCGAACAGCGAGGAGAAACTGATGTTTTCGCAGGCTATTTGCAATCGCGCTGGATGGGATGAGAACTGGACAGATTTTAAGAAAAAAGGCGGACTGCAAGCAGTCTATAAGCGGCCCAAGGGGACGGGTGTGTGTGTGTGGGGGGGGGGGGGGGGGGGGGGG